GCGCTGAGCGCCTCGTCTCTCCGCGCACCTGTTCTAGGGATGGGCAAACAGGCCGGAAGAGCGCATGGGAAGACTGGAGGGCTTCGGGAGGAAGTCCGCAGTGAGACAAGCACGGCCCCTTGGCCCTGACCTCCTGCAGGGCACGCTCGCGGTTCCCTGCGTCCGAGTTCCTGGAAGAGCAGGCGTCTGACCTGTGGCTCCCTGGACTTCCCTGTGGTGGGCAGGGTTTCCGCCAGTCCCTTTGCCTCAAAACTGCAGCGGCAGGGAAAGAGCCCATTCTGGGTAGAGTTGGTGACCAGGGACCGGATGGAGCAGGAGGCTCCCTGAAGACACAGCCGGTAAGGCGGGCTGGAGAGACGTGAGGCAGTTGGCTGGATTTGGTCATTAGACAACCCGTGTCTCCAGCGGTCTGGCTGCCGCGAACACCCGCGGGAAGAACCAGCGGGCGCGAGCGTGCATGCCAAGGCCGAGGGCCGTGCATGAGCAGCGGAGCACAGCGTACGGAGGGAGGAACGGGCGTCCCTCCCGCTCAGCCCGGCCCACCCCAGGCGGCAGTCACAGGTGGGGCTTTGGTTGGGGGGTGGTTTCTTCTCTTTTTTTTTGGTTTCTGTACTGGAGGCTGGGGTCCTGGAGGGTCCGCTTGTCCTGGGAGCTGGTGGGCAGCGGCTCCGGGCTCACACCAAGCCAGCGTCTCTGGCCATGCTGTAGAACAGACCCCTCTGCTGCAGGAGGCTGGCGGGGGAGCCACATTCCCGGATCTCCCCTTTGTCCAGGACGATCACCCTGAGGGAGGAGGGACGCAGGCATGAGGAGCAGGGAGAGGGTGGGCACCGTGACCCACAGAGCCCGCCTGGGAAGGCACTGCTTTGAGGTCAGGCCCCAGCATCTTCTGCTAGGACTGGAGCAGAGAGAAGCCTTCCAGAGGACGGCCCTGCCTCAAAAACCCTTTCAGCACCCATGTCCTGTGGCTTTAACCCTTAATGATCTATTCCCAACCAGTAACGGTTATCAGATGCGATTATGACAGTGGGCATGTTGTCAGCCTTTGCCACTTGCTCCGCCACACTGGAGATGAGAACCTCAGGTGGGCTACCCCCAGGAAATCCCGTCACCCTAACCTGATCCCAATGCACATGACCCCATGCGTGCCCACTAGAAACCGCGTGCCCCACCAGGGTTTCCAGGCTGGGGCCTTTTCACGGGCAGGGCACCAGGCCTTTCTTCTGGGCACTCTGGGTATGTCTGAGACCCCACACATTCCATGAGTCATCTCACCAAAGTGACCCTTGCCCATCACCCAGTGACGCCACAGTTTACCAAAGGCCAGCAGAGAGTCAGTATTATAGGCCTGGCCACGCAATCCCTTACAAAGACAGAACTTTCCTTTCTGTGACTGACGACTCATAAGCCGGTTCTGACAAAAGTCAAACAGCATAATTTTTTTAAAGTTTTTTTCTTATTATAAGGAGCTCTGGTGGCATGGTGGGTTATGTGCTGGGCTGCTATAATAATGAGGTCAGCAGTTCGAACCCACCAGCCACTCCTCGGGAGAAAGATGAGGCTTTCTGTTCCTTTAATGACCTATAGCCATACTCCTCTCCTTCCCTGTGGAGGTACTGACTCAGAATCCAGTCCCCAGCAGGGAGCGAGCTTTCCTTCTTACTCGCCTTCCACCCTAACTGTCTTTGTAAATCTGATCGCCACGTGTCTTTGGAGGTTGGAAACAACAACAAGCAGCCCGCACATGGAACGTCACCAGCAAGTCAGGCACTGCAGCCTTACCACAGGGGGGCTTCAAAAATGTTTGTGGAGAAACGGAATTAAAAGGCAATGGGATTTGGGGAGCCCCCTCACATGTAGCCCCTGCAGGCTGTATTCAAAACACCAAATGCGCGTGGTTAATCCCAAGTGTGCGCCTTGTGACGGAAAGCACTGTAAGCCAGGGACCCCCTACCCTCACATCGCAGGACCCCTGGCGCTGCAAAAGCTGCCCAGGGGAACGTGTAAGCGCACAGGCCTGGCTGCACTTGAGGAGCTTCACACAAATAGGGGGTTGGGGGGTGACAGTGGGACCCGGGAGCCCACGTCTGCTGATGCCTGGCACGCCTCTGCCACAGGACCCAGCCCTGCCTGCTTCTGAACCTCGCTTCCAACAACTCCTTCCTGACACTCCAGCAGTGCCCAGCACCCAGTAGGTGCTGAGAGCTCTCTCCATTCAACAGCCTTGAAAGCAAAACCCAAGCCTGTTCCCACAGGGTCCATTCCAACGCCCAGGACCGTGCGGGACGAGTAGCACTGCCCCGTCGGGGTTTCCAAAGCTGTCCTCTTGGCGGAGGCACGCGCGCAGCCCCCTCTTCCTCCTGAGGGCTGGCTGGTGGGTGTGAACCCACCTTTTGGTGACCCGCTGCACGCTTAGCCACTCTGCCACCAGGTGAGCGTACACCAGCGCCACGTCACTCCCCTGCCGCAAAACCCTGCAGTGGCTTCCAGGTTCTCTGGGGAAAGAGCCCAACCTGCTCCCAGTGAGATCTAGCCCCTGCCCCCGTCTCTGGCCCTATAGGACAGTAATGCAGCTGGACCACACACTCCACCCCAACTTTAAAAGGACCCACAGCACTTCTGTGGCCCTTCCCGAGCGTGGGGGCCCGAGGCTTGGCGCGGGCCCGCCTGATCATCCCCAGTGCTTGCCGCTCTGAAACCTGCCGTCGAGGTGACTGTCTCCCCCAAATGAGCTCTCCGGCCCCAACAGCGGCACGAAGTGAGTCCCAGGACGCGGCAGGTGGCCGCAACACACGGGCTGGCTGAAGGTGTGACCCGAGGGAGGAGAGGTCCCACCCCTGGGGCTCTTGCTCAGCAGAAGGGCAGTGTCGAGGGAGCAGGTGGGCAGACGAGCACCCAGGCCCCATGTGGCAGGGGCGTCACCTTGTGTAGTCCATGATGGTGTTGAGCCGGTGAGCAATGGTGAGGACGGTGCAGTCCTCGAACTGAGTCCGGATGGTGGACTGAATGAGGTCGTCCGTTTCCAGGTCCACGGCGGCTGTGGCCTCATCCAGCACCAGGATCTTGGTCTTCCGCAGCAGGGCCCGGGCCAGGCACACAAGTTGGCGCTGCCCGACACTGGACAGGCGCAAAGACCACGAGGCAAGAGTGTTAGATCATTCCCAACCAGGGCCGAGCCCTGAGCGCACTTCCACCCTGCCACTCCCCGGCTCCTTCGTCCCAGCCTGCAGCAGACATCACTAATCAGCCGAGCCGAGCGCTCAGAATCAATCTCCTCGCAATGTCTGACCGGACCAGCAGAGGAAGTGTGAGAGGCAGCAGGCATCGCCCTGGGGGGGCCCCTCCCAGCCAGGCCTTTGGCCGACACAGGCTAGAGGTGGGCTGCATACCAGCCTTGCTCCCTCCTGCACCTCCACCTGCCATCTCCATGACAACAGGCCCCGTGGGTTGCTGGAGGAGGAGAGACCCAGTAAAGGCCCCTATCAGCTGGCAGCCAGCTACACCCTGGTCCTGGGCGGGGGCTTGGCCAGTCCCAGCAGAGCTGGGTGGCCGACCTGGCCGTGACTGAGCCGCTGTAGGGGGGAAAGAGCCACGGGCACCACCCACAGAGGTTTCTGTCCGGACGCTCAGGTCTCAGATCCTGGGACCCAGGAGAAGGCAGCGGGAGTTGTGGGCGGGGCGTGGAGCGCTCAGGGCAGTTGCTTTGTGCCACCTGGCAGAGAAGCCTCTCGATATCTAAAACACTGAATGGAGCAGGCATAAGAAAGGCAGTGTACTGGCCATCCTGTTTCGGTATCACAGCAGAGGGAGCCCATTTTACAGACAAAGAAACCGAGGCTGCAAGTGGCAGAGCGGGGACTTGAACCCTGTTTGGACACCCTGCCCACCTGGGCCTGCTCTCCGTGCTCACCTCAGGTTCTCACCGCCTTCCGCGCACTCGTGGTTCAGCTTATCGGGAAGGGCGGACACGAAGCTCTTCAGGTGGGCCAGCTCCAGTGACGTCCAGACCTCGTCGTCCGAGTACTGGCTGAAGGGGTCCAGGTTCATGCGGAGGGAGCCCGAGAACAACACGGGGTCCTATCCGGGAAGGGAACAGCATGTGGAAAAAACGTTCCCAGGGATGCAGGGGGGCGGGGCCTGGACCCTGTCAGGAGAGGCTCTGGGTTTCCTGAGCCCTCGGTGCACAGAGCTTATGGGCCAGGTTCAGGGGAACCCCCAGCCCAGCCGGGGTCCTATCCGGGAAGGGAACAGCATGTGGAAAAAACGTTCCCAGGGATGCAGGGGGGTGGGGCCTGGACCCTGTCAGGAGAGGCTCTGGGTTTCCTGAGCCCTCGGTGCACAGAGCTTATGGGCCAGGTTCAGGGGAACCCCCAGCCCAGCCTAGCTCACCTCCAGGAGGGCCTGGGGGGGGGGGTGACTCTAAGAGGTGACAGACTTAGGCCACCACTCTCCCAGCCACTTTAGCAAAGTCACCTTCCTGCGC